TGTGAACTGAATCAAAGAACCTTTAGTGATGCCAACTGTAATTCAAGTAGTATCTCAGATGCAGAATATGCAAAGAGTAATGAAACATGATCCCTGCTCGCAAGGATATCATCGTATAATGGAAAAGGCAGACACATCAAAAAGCACAACAAAAGGCTATAGGTGCTGAATTAGGAGTCATTCACGTAGGATAGCACACCAACCATGGCAAGAGGAGTCAGTGGAATAAGCAGGGAAGGGGTGTCCCAAGATGTAGGAGGAAAACCAGATGAGCTCTCTCCTTGGAAACACGGAAGTGCTCGCCTGCACTTGACAATACCATTGATCCATAATGGTTCACATCAATGATTCTTCCAAAGCAATCTTGAACATCTTTGTTGTCCATCTGGAAAAACAAACCAACATATAATTAGCAGGCTTATATTAATTTACCAATTGACAAATTCACAAAGGGCCTATTATCTGCATTACTTACTAGGCACTTGGAAGCCATCACAGAATTATCTAATGAGTCTGGATCAGCAACTGAGAGAATTTCAGGCCAATATATAATCACAAAAGCAAAAGAGTCAGGAAAGCAGTGATACCAGAAATGCTACAAAGAGGGGTAGGATCTAATATGTAAAAACTCCTAAATTCCATGTTCTGGACTCTAGACTTAAAGAGATAATTTAGGTTAGTTCCCACCAATCGAATAGTTTGTGTCTAGTCGCCACACAGTTATTCAAACAGGTAAGTGCAGTAAGTTATGAGCAGCATGACACACACAGAACAAGGTCTCTTAACCCTGGTGGTCAGGAAAGATTTCTCATAGAAGTTTATGAAAAATTTATTTTTATTATCTCCAATTTTATATTAAAAAATCCTAAACCTAAGCACTACAAAGTTTGATAAATTGGCTAAGTTACAGAACTGACACCAGTTTTCAACACTTCAAAACCCCAGTGTAGTTTCTATCACATTAAGCTTTCTCATAAAATTGTCCATGTTTAATTTCAGTCATCATAGTGACTTTTCCACTTCTCATAGTGCTGTTTGTCCATAAACACTTAAAATCTGTTAAAAACAGTAAAAACAGTGTATTAGGAGACAACTACCATAAAAATATTGATAAAACTCTGGTATTCCCTGGTGGCTCCCCCTTCTGTATCCCCCTACAGAATACCTGGAGGTCAAAGCTCTGCTTAGCTAAATACACATTGTGTATACACACACACACACACACACACACACACACACAATTCCTTTAAAAATGTAGACATTATAGACACAACACCTCTGATGTTTTCTCTCCACACTGACAAGAATAAAATATTTGATCAGCGGTAAATGTGAGCTGTTTATAAAACATGCAGAAGATAAATTTGTTTCATGTCTGTAAACCTCAATAAGCTATGGAGAGTATTCATTTTCCTTCTTTATGAAGGGGAAGACTAAAACTCAAACATATACTGTACAAGTGATATTTTTGACATTTTTGGAAGGAAAAAAATCCCAAATGCATATCAATTTTTGGAGCACTGAGGTTGTAGAGTTTCTATTAGCCTGAAACTCATGACTGTTCGAAGAGAAAAAAAAAAATCTCATTGGAGTCTTTAAGCATTCTGACCTGCCTGGGTTCCAGAGAGTATTTCACAAGAACTGCTTAAATGAACCTAACAGTCCATCTTGACAAATAGCATGACATATTCTGAATGCTTCTAGCAAAAAAAAAAAGGGGGGGGGAGGAGATAAACCCACAAAATACTTATAGGTTGATAATTCTTAATGGATTAATGAGAGTATGGAACATTTTTTGCCTTTGTCAGAGATTTTAAGAACCATGTAAGATGATGCATTATTACCTCTAAGAATACAAAATATAAGTTAAACACCCAAAATATTGATAATAGCATGTCAGATGGAAGGAAATTACCTACAAAATTATCTATAAAATAAGAATCCAGTATATCTGTGTTAATGTTAATGTAGAATTTAAGAACCTCTGTAAATAGTAAAAGTCAATTGTTTGGGATTAAAAATGTATGCTCAGATATATATTTGATATATTTATCTCTGTTATAAAAACTCAATCACCATATTAGATCAAACTATATTATCCAGATGATGAAACTGATTTTAAAAACACACTCACTTTACTTTGATAACATTAGTACAGAAAATGTTTTTGGGAACTGAAACTTAAACTTTAACTGTACTTAAGTGTATAATATTTGTTTTTGAAACAGTAGCACCAAATTTCTCTAGAAAGTTCAACAGAACTTACTTTGTTATAGTAATCACATACAAATAATAATTTGTAGAATTACCATGCAAAACAAATGCAGGCAAATATTTGAGTTTCTTGCAGAGCAAAACACAAAACAAACAATAGGATAGCACAACAGAAAATATAATATTCACTATATACACATAAAAACCAGAATTATTCTATGATCTTAAAAGAAAGGAGGGCAGATTATCAATTAGAAGAATATAATCACTTTCTGAACTACAGACAATGGCCATTTCTTGATCTGGATTCCAGTTACATGTATGTGATCATTATATAATTCATAAAGCTGTAAGGTTAAAATGGGTGTACTATTTGTATTGTTTTAACAAGGGGGCACTATTAAATTTTTATAAGTTGTGTTTTAAAACAGGTTAGCTTGCAGTATAACAAAAGGATTTAAATCACCATTATATCTACTTTATACTCATCATTTTCTAGGAAAAAATGCTTAACTATTACATATTGAAGAGGTTAATATCCCTAATGCCCTACTTACAGAGGTTTTCTCTCTACCTAATTGTTGACATGGCTAGGGGAATACCAGAAGAGAGACCAATGCATTTGAGATGGGGTTCTGTATTTCAAGCAATTGACAAAGCAAACGTGAGAGTCTTCAATTTGGCAACCATAAAAGTTTGTGTTGTGAGACAAAACGTTTGCTGTAATATTAAAGAGAGGTGGCTCAAGTATCCTAACAGTTTGAGAAATCTGGAACAGCAGAGTAGCAAGAAAGCAAACTCTGTGGCAAAAACCTTTCAAAGGTAACAAGATTCAATTTTACGACTTTAAAAAGGTTAATATGTAGAATAGCAAAGTATTTAAATTATTACTATCAACTATATTTATTATTGGACTGTAGATTTTTTAAAGTTTTTTTATAACATTTATAATTTTTTTACATTTTTAGACAATATTTGTTTCCCCCCACGCCCTCAGATTGAGTCCCCATAGAATTTCCTTCCCCCAAGGCACCCATGTACCATCACCCCAGTCCCCTGTGCTCCTCCCTCCCTCCCTCCCTCCCTCCCTCCCTCCCTCTGATCCCTCTCCCTCCTCCTCCCCTGCAGTGTGTCTCTGGTTTATAATAGTCTGTTTTTGCTTTGTTGTGTTTTGTGCTGTTATCATTATTTCTTTTACACTGATTGGAGGTGTCGACGTTGTAATACATTAAGCGCTATTATAGAAAGGCAGCCCCCACTCACCTCCTCTTCAAAATAGCAGTCCTTAACCATTCTGAGATGAAAAGGAACTCCCAGGGGGAATCGTGACTTAGAAAATGTCTTTAAAATGACCTCCCCCCCAACCTTAGGTGACAAAAAAACACTTAATGATTACGATATGACATATTCTAGATTATCCTAATACAACTCCTGAAGTCCACTTCACAAAGTAGGCTTTACTTCCAGCTACTTTCTGGCATGACTGAGAGATACAGGAGACCCCATTTGAGATGGGCTTCCTCATTTCAAGCAAATATCAAAGCAAATGTGAGAGTCTTTAATTTGGCAGCCAGAAAAGTCTGTTGTAATATTTAAGAGAGGTGGCTCAAGTATCCTAACAGCTGGAGAAATCTGGAACAGCAGGGTAGCAAGGAAGCAAACTCACTCAATTGGGATGTAATGACCACCTAAGAGTCCATCCCTTTGGCCATCTGCTATCGAGACAAGTCTAACTGGAATGTCACCAGCTCAAATGTGGAAGGAAATATTACTTTCCTTCCAACACTAACTGACAGGGAGGACCATGGTCCTGCTGGGGTAGTAAGAAAGGGGCAGTGGAGCTGGAAGTGGAGCCTGGCAAACCACACTCTACAAAGGAACACAGCCCTCCCTGTGAGATGCACTTATCAGGATGCATCTGGCTAAGAAATCGCTACCCTGCCGGGCAGTGTTTGGTTCAACTACACTGGGGTTATATGGGAAATGCCCGTTTGAAATAAGCAGTGAAAAACGATCAACTGTGAGGCATTTTTGAAAATCAAAATATCGCCAGAGGAATAAAGAAACGTCTGCAAAATGCGATGAGATCGCGTTTCTGGAAACAAAAAGAGTATAGAGTGTGGCATGAGCACAAGAAGCGAAATTTCCTAACACCCATTTTTTCGATTCAAAAGCGCTGGTTCAAACCAATGCCCATCACGGGAGCGCTGGCTGACAAGGGTCGGTGCTGCGAATGAGAACCTAAGTTAAGAGCAAGAATTAATCAAAGATGCCACACCCCCACGCTGACTGGATTGTCACGGCCTTCACTCCGAAACGAACCGCAAGGCTGGCACCCAAAGCACCGCAAATAGCAAGGATGCACACACGGGTGTGTGTGTGTGTGTGTGTGTGCAAAGGAAAAGACAAGCCACCAACCAACCACAGCGCTTCACGCGCGCGCGCGGACACACACGCACACAAACACACACGCACGCACACATGCACGCACACACACAGCCCAGAGCCGGTGCGCACTCAGGGCACCTTCCAACGCAGCCCGGGCAGCTGTGCTCCCGCACACAGGTCCGAGCAACCCGCGAGCAGCGATTTTCCAGGCATCTGACAAAGGAGCAAATGGCCAGAAAACTGTGCCCGGCGGGCAGACGGTTAGCGAGCGCGAGGCAGAGGTCTGCCGGGAAACAAAAGAAGCCTCCCTCCTCCCGGGAGACCGCACATGGCACTCGAGGTGCTCGGCAGGCTGGGCTGCGGGCGCGCAGCAGGCGTCTGTGCAGGAGCGGTACATACTAGGGCTCGCTCTCTGGCAGGGACGGGGCCATGGAGTTTCCATTGGTTGGGGAACCGCCCAGCTTTAGTTTCTCCAGATATGCGGCATGCACGGGCTTGTGGCACTGGAGAACCTTGATGGCATCTTCGACTTTGAACCACTCTCGCTTCCTCCTCCCAATGCTCACCGAGTCTTCCCAGTCCTCCAGAATCTCAGTGACAGTCAGTACATACACGTACGTTCTGTGCTTGCGATCTTGGTTCTGCTCGAAGACGCCCAGGAGCCGGCCCAACTTGCCCCTGACGCCCGCCTCCTCGTACACCTCCCGCACGGCCGCGCCGCCCGGCTCCTCCTCGGGCTCCATGCCCCCGCCCGGCACGATCCAGCGGTCCGGGTGGCGACTACTGCTCACCAGCAGCACCTCGTCCTCGCGCTCGCTCCGGAAGCACAGGCACGCTGCGCGCTGCTTGAACCCCTCCGGGTCGTAGGTGCGCGTCTGGTTCGGCTTGCACTTCATCGTCCGGGCCGCGGGCTCCTGCGCTCGCCTCTGCTCTGGCCGCCGCCGCCGCACGGTGCCGGGGAGAGAAAGGGCCAAAGCGAGGGCGGGGAGAGACGCGCGGCTGGGCGGCGAGCCCGGCGCCCAGGCGAGGAGGGGGCGGGGGCGGGGGCGGGGGCGGCGAGTGCGTCAGGCTTCGGCCCCGCGCGCCCGCCCAGGGTCCCGAGCGCACGCGCCCGAGGGACGACGCGCCGCCTCCGCCGCCGCCGCCGCCGCCGCCGCCGCCGCCGCCGCGAGCCCGCACCCCTCGCCAAGCCCCGCGCGTCTAGCGCGCCGCCATGGCTCCGCCCGCCCGCAGCCGGCCGGCTAGGGGTTGAGTGAGGTGAGGCGCCTCTGCGTGCGCGTCCGCGGCGCGATCCGCGTGCGCGTGCCCGCCGGAGGGTGAGGGGGCGGGGGCCGGGGTCTCGGGGCTCCCTCCGCGCGCGGCGCCCGGGGCCCAATGCGCAGGCGCCCCGCCCCTCCAGGGCCGGCGTCGCGCGCGGCGGGGTTAAGCCCGGCGCCGGTGGCGGGCTCGGGTGCGTTCCACGTGCGCCGGTCGGCGAGCCCGGCTGTGGCGCGGCCGCACGGCTCCCCTCCCCCTCCCAGGCAGGTTGCACGACACCCACGCGCGGTCATTTCCCACACGGTCCTGTCCAGGGCTGCGGTGTCTCTGGTCCTGGGTGGCAGCCGCTTATTTCTAGGAAGCTCTCCGTTTTGTCCCAGGGATCCCGCGGCTCCTTGGCCCAAGGCCACCCAGTCGTGGCTGAGTCTCCTCATGCATGAGGGGTTTTTCCTGAAACAGGTTCACCATGCCAGGTGTCTTGGCACAGCCCCTACCTCACCACCTTTCTTGAACCCCTCAGACTTCTGAGTCATCTCTGCCCCTCACTTTCCTGGTCGCTGAACTCCTGGTCTGCTCCCTTCACTCCTGTGCCCTTGGAGTCCCGGTCCATCAGAGTTCACTGACATCCCGAGAAGTGCGCCCCGCGCAGTCCACCCCTCGCTCTTTCTCACCTGCCATCACCGGTTGGCGATTTGGGAGACATGGCTGAGGAAATCTTTCTTTTCTGTTTGGACTTTTAGTCGTCTGCTGGCCAGGACCTTCAGCATGGCCACTGGCGCGTGCAGCCTCTCAACTCTCTCCTTGGTCATTGTGTCCTTTTGGACAACAAGCAGCACCCCACAGCCCCAAATCCAACAACTTAAAAGCCCACGGAGCCAAGCTGTCCTTTGGCTTTTGTTTTTGCTGCTTCCCCGCTCAAACAGTAAGCGATGGAGCAGACACTGCTGTCCCCTGACTTCTGCCAAATGGCAACTTAGGCATGTTTGTCTGACTCTTGCCATCAGTGCTGGCATCAGAGGAACAGCGCTTGAAAACTGGATGAAAGGGCAAATCGAGTCCGAAATGGAAGTGACAATACCTAGGAAACTTACAGGGCAATTGGTGGGCAACAGTTTAGCTCAGTTTCCTGGGATCAGCTCCACTCCATTTCAACCCACACGAGCTCCCCAAAATGGCCGTATCCCCAGTGGCAACAGACAGCTGCTCTATCTGGAGCATAATATAAGAAAGATGCGTGGGGCTTCTGGTGTGAAGAATTATGTGAGCGACGTCAAAACACAGACATTCCATTGCCGAGGACCCTATATTCAGGACATATCGATGATCAAAGACCATTTAAAGGGATGGTGCAACCCCTGATTAAAGACAGACTAGGGAAATGGATCTCCACGAGTGGGGTTCCTCGGTGTGCAGATACATAAATGATGTTAAACAACTAGAAAAAATTCCATTATGATCAGGATCTAGGGAGATAATACCGAGTGTCACTGGGATCATTATCTGTGGTTTAAGACGTTCTTACCAGTTTGTGTGGTGAGATCGTGAAGAGAAAGAGACCTGTCACATAGGTAAGGAAGACAAAATTGCCGTCATTGGTAGGCAATGTGACTATTTGCTTGGGAAACACGTAAAGACAAACGCCCTGAAGTGACACGGTGGAATGCTAACATTTACAGTATCAGTAGCTTTGATGTATTGCAGCAATCATGCTGTAGAAAATATAATGGAGAAATGAAGACATTCACCAGAGCAAGGTCACCCTACCAAAAAATAAATACCGAGGGATCCTAAAAGTTATGACTAGCACTTGGTAGGAGACAACGATAAAACTTGTACCCCGTGTGGGAAGGTGATCTGAATAAAACCAAGAGGAACTCTAGCAACGCTGGCGAGTGGGCTGGTGTCTGGGTGTCCACCTGGCCCAGCCGCCTCACAGATCCACTTCCCACTTGCCGGGCGCTATCTCCCCATCTCACCACAGGTGTCCTTTCCCGGTCTACTCCCATCACCTCTAGAGGTGCTCGCGCAGTGTGCCTCTGCTGGGGTCATGCTGACCGGCCCAGCCACAGAATATGGAAAGAGGGAGAGGCTGGGCTCCTACTGGCAAAGTCGTCGCAATCCGTTTCTGGGTAAAGAGGCCCACAAATTACGGGCTTCATAGAGTAATAGCAAAGGAAGGTTCAAATTAGGGTTCCCCCTGAATTTCATAAAATAATTTTATTATTCACTTCTTATATGCTGGTAGGGCAAGAATGATAGGATGCTTTCCTAAAGAATAGTAGAAATCATTTTTGAGAGACCAGCATTCCACTGTCTGGTTTACCCACAGATAAGTGTTTCTGTAGAGATGAACAAGGGTAATTCAGGTAGTGATGCTCTATGGGTTTTCCTTCGCTTGCTGCACTGGAAGCAGGATGACAGAGATGTGAAGAAGCCCAGCTCCGGGGTCAATGAGAGGCCCATGGTCCCAGCAACCCTGTCATTTCAGCTGACTGTGAAACAGTGGCCACACTGTGGGTGACAGCCTGCTTTGACCATCCAGCCCCCAGCAGAGCCCCTTAGCTGACAGGGCACTGATCACAGGTGAACACGTAAACCTCACGAGAAGAGCAGAAGAACCACACATATCAGCCCAGGCCAAATTATTGGCCTGCAGGATTCCCAGCAAAGGAATTGGTGGTTGTTTAAAGTCACTGAATTTGGGGCTGGTTTGTTATGTGTCAGCAGCTCACTGATACAACCATTAGCTGCCAGCCCCCCCCCCCCCAATCCAAGCAAGAATAATTAACGAGAGAAAGCATTTGTCATAGTAGCAATGTTAATTCCGCTTGAAAAGGGTGACTGCACTTTCCCTGGCGTCAGAAAGAAAGGAATGAGGTGAAGACACATAATATTTCTGGGTGCCCACTATGTGCCAAGGCCCCGTGCTGAGCCCTGTCTCCTACATCCCGGAAATCCCATTCATTGTGCAGGAGGTGGTTAACATTTCCATTTCATGGAAGAGAAAATCAAGGCCGGGTATGGCATTTATTTTGTTTGAATTCAAGTCTTCCTGTGCCTATAGCCTCCATGTCTTGTCAAAAGGAATATTTTTATCAGGAGCTGTGTTTTGTTGTGACAGTGTCCGGTGATGTTCAGAGTCCAGGTAAGGTAAGATGTTCATTTACCAACAGTCATTGTGTTCAAAAAAGGTAGTTTCCACCCCGATGTTCCTCGTTAGCCTGGTCTACATAGTGGAAAGGCCACCCGAGATCCACCCCACTCCAACCTACAAACAGTGTGTCACCTCCACATGTCCTTTGGTAACTCAAAGCTTTTTTTTTTTTTTTTTTTTTTTGCCATTCAGTGACTTTTTTTTTATTCATTGATTAAATTTTTTTCCCTTACATTGTTGTAGTCCTCATAGTTCTCCTGCTGCTGTTTCACGAGTGAACCATCCCTACAGTCCCCTGTATTAATCACCTCCTTGTATTCTTCCCTCTTTTCCCCTCCTTTACTCTATGCTCAGTTCTTTGGGCAGTTTGCCAGTTTGACTTTTTTTTTTTTTCCTTGACCTTTTGTTGGGTTTCTCTATATTCTACATATATGTGAGGCCATCTGGTATTTATCTTTGTCCTTCTGACGAATTTCTGCTAGCATAATCCCCTTCCAGCTCCATCCGCATTGCCGCAAATGACATGAGTTTGGCTGTTTTGATAACTGGATACTATTCCAGAGTGTAAATATAGCACAACTTTTTGAGCCACTGGTCTATTTTGAGGCATTTGGGTTATATCCCTATCTTGGCTATTGTAAATTGTGCTGCAATAGACATAGAAGTGCAGGTTTCCTTTTAAATAAGTGTTTTTGTGTCCTTTGGGTTGATTCCTAGCACGAATCCATTTGCTGAATCACAGTAGATCCATTTTCAGTGTTCTGAGGATCCTCCACACAGCTTTCCATAGTGGCTGGGCCAGATTACATTCCCACCAGCACTGTAAGAGGGTTTCTTTATCCTCTCCAGCACTGGGACAACTCAGTGCTTTGATTTCCCTTGCCAGTATAAAAAGAAAGGAGGCACTGCATTTAGTAAGATATTGTACACTGTCATCCCTCTAGGCAATGATTTTATTTACTCATGGTCTGCTTTATTTTATGAACTTATTTTTTGTTAACCAAATAATATCTCAGATGAGCATCAAAGTCCTTGTTCAACAGAGTACAAAACCGACTGAGATAGGTTTAAGTAAGAGAGGCAGCCCATGTTGTGACTTCAAAGGCAATCCTTTTCCGTGCACCATGACTAGTTCCACAAGTGAAGCTGTGATGTACAGCACCTGTCCTCCCTTGTGGCGCAGTCTTTTGCCCTAATTTTTGTCAACCTGGGATGATCCAGGCACCCAGGAGAGCATGTCTTCCCTGTAATGTTCTGAAGCTGTGAGGATCTGCTGTGAAGCCTGACCATTTCTACATTTTGTCTGCTGTAGGAAGGAACAGGCCCATTGGAAATGGACAAGAACATTAGAAGCATTATCCCGGGAAGTTGGGTGCCTTACCTAATGAGATGGGCCTGAGCCTGGAGATGCGTCTTTTTCTACTAACTTTTGAGTGAAGTACAATTTTAAATGGAGAGGGCCCCTCTGGAACAGCTGTCAGCTGGGATAGAGAATTACAGACCTTCCCAGAGTCCTGCGGTCCTCAGTCGAATCCAGCCTTTGGGACCATGAGCACAACATAC